CAACAAAAGATTACAAAGTGTCAGACTTTCTAAAAATTAATGCACCGGCTACTCAGAGCAATGAAATGGCGAATATCAATAAGAATGCTACAGGCGAGCCCAAAGGTTAATTCAAAGAAACCGAACTCTTAACAAGCAGTAGCGAAAAGTAAACCTAGCCATTAATCTAGTTCATTTGAACCACCACCTGTTTCTTAATATTTTTAAAAAATACATTCAGAATATATCTTGGAACTGGTAGTAAGCGCATGAAATGGAGAAATCGTAGCATCTATTTTATACGATACAGAAAGGGAAGTTGGCAACGTACCTATTGACCAATGCTTCAAACAGAGCCCTGAAAATCAATAACCCAGAATCGTTCGAAGAGCTTCAGTGACAAAGTCTGTTCCTTTTTCTTTTTTCTTTTTCGTTCTTTGTCGTCTAAATATCCCTCGTTCCTATGTCCGGGATATTCTTTTTCTTTTCTTTTTTCTTTTAAAATTCTTTCCTCAATATCCACCAATAAACCAATATCATATCCAAATATTTAATTTCTTTTACTATTTTCAATCAAAATAAAAATATACGCTTGTTTCTAAAATTAAAAAACATAAAACTCTTTTATTTTTCTGTTTTGAAATGAAAAAATTATTTTCTAAACAAATCTACTAATTATTTTCAAGAATATTATTTGAAGGAAACTATTTTCATTTACCAAAAAAAACAATCACTATTTTCAGTATGGTTCGCGAACAGGTCCAATTGGCTTTTATTGGGCCCAGTTTGAGAGACAGTACTCTGGCCCGATCGAGTCTAGGTTTTTGGGTTGGGCCCAATCCAACTTCGTCAGTCATAATCTTTGGCCCTTTTGGGTGATTATAAATACACTGATATGCTTCAATTGCTTAATTAGGGTTTCGACGGAGAGGTCGCAGCGCGTTGGCAACATTTAGGTTTAGTTCATATCTTCCTTCTCGCAATTTTCTCACTTTCCCCAGTTCCCAGATCGGAACAATTTCAATATAGCAAGGGCTGAGGCAAAGGGCAGAGCAGCAATATGCTTGTTTTCAAGCATATGAATCAGTGGCTCTGATTTACTTGTAGGTTTTCTACAGGGTCCCCTGCCATTGAAGCCCTGTACATCAAGTCTTGCACAGATTATTATACTGTGGGAGACAATGGCATCATAGTACGGGTTATGTGCTTGATGGGTTGTTGTGAAGTTTGGAACTTTGTTACTTATGAGGGTCTTGACCCAAATGAGCCCCAAGGTTCCTTTCACCCTCCCATTTTCTCCTCACAAACCCGCCTCCAATAGCCATTGCATTTTCCCCAACCATTTCATAAGTCTCTCTCTTTTTTTTTCTTTATTATATAACAAGTATAATCTGTTAGTCAAATTGTTGCCCGAGAATTGTTTTGTGTTTTCATAATCATAATCATGAAATGTAGAATGAGAAATGGAGAGCAAATTAAACACCTTTTGGCATGACTGCCTAATAATTTTGGCTGCTGGAGACTTTCATATTCCAATAAATCACATTTTGCAGAACTCATCCTAAAAATGGTTCAGGAATTTATTCATTATAGCTTAAACATGAACACTTTCCCTAAAAGAATCATCTTCATCGAGAGAAGTAATACAACAGTAAAACGAAAGGAGCGACTTTACATGTCGAAATTTGACGACAAATTAACTTCCCTCGCATTGCCAAACAACCCTTTGTCCAAAACCCAATCTTCTATCATTGCTTGAGCTCTCAATGGCTGGTCAGCAGGCAAAAGATGACCAGCCTCTGAAACCAAAACATGGCTCAAGCTCCCCCATTTCTGAACATACCCAGCAACCTCGCCACCCACCTTCCAAACTTTCCGGTCCGCTGACAGAAACTTGTCAATCCCCTCCCATTTTATGGTCTTGACCCAAGCCTCGGTGGAAACCACACCGTCTCTCAAATCAAACTGCCCTTGGTACAACAAGACCTTGCTCTTCTTCACCAAATATTCCACCATGTATTTCACACTCTTCATCACATCTTCATTCAAAATCTCCCCCACCAAATCACTGCATTCCTCAAAAACCAACGACCCATTAACCCCCAAAGCCCTCTTCACCTCCTCATGCCTCAAAAAATCCTCAACCAAACTGGTTTTGTAAGGAACGTTCTTTGTGTAATCATACAGAGTCGCCAACCCAGTCATGTTTTGCAACAAATTCAAGACTCTGTTTCTTGCATCCGTGGCCTCACTCCAATTGCCTGCTTTAGTGAACCCAACTGCTTCCACCTGAAGCTTCTCCAACTCACTCCTTTGCCTCTCATTGATCAAACCAGAGAAGTAAGCATTCACATCATGGGTAGCCACCTGAATCTCTGGGTCTGTGAGCCCATCCCCAATAGCAACCCCATGTAAATTCACACCTTGGGACCCGGCTGCCAACTCAGCATTCCTCTTCAAAATGTAGTATCCAATAGCCGGAACATACTTGCCTGCATAGCTCTCACCAGTTATGTAAAGAGGCCGTGACTTGAACACGGGGTCAAGCTCAATAAACTTGGTAATTGCAACAAAGAGGTCTCTGGCAACTGAAAGCTGGTCTCTTGGGATCTCTTCTGGCTTCGCAGCTATACTGAATCCAGTTCCAATTGGATTGTCAAGAAACACCAGGCCAAAGATTCGGTTCCAGGAACCAGAATTGGGTTCCAGAGCAAGGGGCTCAGAAGGGTGTTTGTTAAAATTTACACGCCATGGCCCGAGCTCGAAGAAGTTGCCGATCATGGAGGAGCAACCAGGGCCGCCTTGGAGCCAAATGAGTAGTGGGGTTTGAGAGAGATCGGGTGAGATTGTGAGGTTCTGAGCTTCATAGAAAGTGTAGAAAATTGCAGAGCCTGTGGTAGGTTTGACTGGGAGGTAGCCTGATTTGGTGGGATGAGCTTGTTTGGGGAACAGAGGTTGTGATGATGATGAAGCTGTGATGAGGTGGAGGAAGAAGAAGAAGAAGAAGAGGAGGAGTTTTGTTGACTCCATTGATGATTGAAGACTCGTAGTGTTGAGACACACCGGCGGATTAATCATATAGATGAGTAAGGTGAAGAAAGTTGACTCTACATCACACGTGGCGACTGGTGAGAACAGTAAAACGAATATTGTGGTTTTTGTAACGGGGTATCTTCAAAATACATGATGCCAAATAAATATATTATATATATCGTATGTTGTTTTTTTTGGGTTAATTATATACATACCCTATGTGCTTTCAAACTTATCTCATATTACCATATGTGTTTGCAAACGTCTCAAAGTACCTCCCAACGTTTTAAAAACCGTCTCACGTTACCCGTTCCGTCAGTTTTTTTAACGTTCCATTACGAATGTTGGGCCCTACTTCGTTTTAACATTTAACCTCTTCGAATAAGGGTTTCTCAGTTTCTAACAAAGGGGGAAATTGGGTGAGAAGGGGAAATTGGAGAAGAGGGTTGTGAAAATCTGAGGGTTCCTTCGATTTTGGGAGAAGCCAGAGAAGAAATTAGGGGTTTCTAAAACTCTGAGGTGGAGTTTGAAATTGGGAGATTGTGGAGTCGAAGATTTAGGCTGATGGAAACAGGAGATAAGCAAGGAGAATGAAGGCATGGCCGATGGTGTCATTGTGGGAAGTTAGCACGGATGCAGACTTCTTAGACCAGTTCAAACTAGGGGTGGGCGCGGTCTAGTTCGCAGCTCACACCCAAATCGAAACCGGTACTGTTCATCTGGTCCGGTCCGATTCGATTTTTAAAAAAACAAGAGAGAAACCGGATCAAGCCGAATTGGTAATTTCCAATCCGGTTTTCCGGTTTGCACTGATTCTATAGCAAGTCACATACACAGTAGACAATAAGAAAAAAAAACATAAATTTGGATAAACAATTCTTACTTTTCTGCTAAAAAAATATTCGATTTTTCCTTTCATTTTCTCAGATGGCCGACATATAACTAACCCTAAACAATCTAATACCAAGTATACCAGAAATCATAAACACACCAGATCTAATGAAACTGACACATAAAAATGAATACAACATCAGATCTAATGAAACCACAAAATAAAAAATACAACACCAGATTTCTCCTTGCATGAGACTTTGATGCTTGAATCGAGTCCTAGGATCTTCGTTACCAGCATATGAAGAAGGCTCCATAGCAAGAACTCCTTTCATCCTCTTTATTAGATCACAGAGAGAGAGAGTGAAATAGTGAAGTTGAAGAGAAGAAAAAAAAAGGGGGTAGAGAGAGAGTGAAGTCGCAGAGAAGAAGAAGAAAAAAGAAGAGAAGAAAAGGGAACGGAAGAAAGGAAAGAAAAGAAAGAGAGAGAGAGAGAGAGAGAGAAGTCGCAGAGAAGAAGAAGAAGAAGAAGAAGAAGAAGAAGAAGAAGAAGAAGAAATAAAAAAGAAAATGGAGAGGAAGAAAAGAAAAAGAAACGGGAAAAAAAAAAGAGAGAATGAGGAATGAAGAAAAGGGGAAGGGGGAGAGAGAGATCAGAGAATGATAAAAGAAAAAGAAGACAAAAAAAATAGGAAAAGAAAAGAAATGGGAAAAGTAAGAGAGAGAAGAAAGAATATAGAAAAGAAAAGAAAAGGGAAACGGGATCAAAGTCTCATGCATTATTGGTAATGAAGAAAAAGAAAGTTTTGGGAAGAGAGTGGCGCTTTGGGAAGAGAAAAGAAAGGGAAAAAAAATAGAGAGTTTAAGTGGGATTGGAATGGGCTTTGAAAATAAAATGTATATGGATTTTAAAGTTGGGCTTTTTATTTGGGTTAAATTGAATTGGGCTTAAATATAAGATATTTTAAAATAAATAAATAAAAAATTAATGTCCGGTCCGGTCTAGTCCGGTTCTGTAGTATATAAAATCAAAATCAGAACCGATTCAAATCGGTCCGGTTCGATTTGGTGTCAATTTGTTGACTTTTTTAGTCAACCGGTTTCTTTTCCGGTTTTTTCTATTCAGTTATGTCCAGTCTTCCGGTTTTCCAGTTCAAATGCCCACCTCTAGCTCAAATCTAGGACAAAAATTTCTAGTCTGCCCAAAGTCAAAGGTAAGCATGTTTAAGATCAAATTTTCAGTCATTGTTTTGGGCATCACAAATTGATAGAGTTGTTATTGATGAAATTGTCAGTGATTGATGAAATTTTCAGTCATTGTTCTTGGTTGATACAGGAAAGTGGAGAAAAAGGATGTAGGTTTTTTCAGTGGTTTGATGCAGAAATGCGTGAGCGTTCAAAGTCTTTGATACCTGGTTTGCTGAGGAAGATTGATATGATGGAGAAGGAAAATGCAAAGATTCGAGCAAAGTCAAAAATATTGTGGGCAGTTATGTTGCTTTCCTGGTTTGTGATGTTTGCCATGAAGATGAATTATGCACTTTGGCAGTAGTTTAGTAGGCACTGTAATTTGAGAACAAATGTTAATGTAATGTAAGACACTTTGGCAGTAGTTAAACACTTTGGCAATAGTTTAATGGGCAAATTTAATTTGAGAACAAATTCTAATCTAATGTAAGGCACTTTGGCAGTGTAATGTAATGTAATTTGATGTAATGTAATGCTAGTTAAGTTTGTTCATTGTAATTTGTTTAGGGGTTACATGACAGGACCCGCCCCGAATTTCCTCAGAAATCGGGACGAATCTCGCCTTAATACCGACATCACCCCGATTCCAGGCCCACTTACTAAGAAACGAGACTTCCTACCAAAATTTTGGCAGAGTCTCCCTTGTAAATTGAACATTTCCCAAAATTCAACATGCTCAAAATTCACAGTTTAACATCTCAACCAGCAGCATGCTTTAAAGCAAATAAACTGTTTACAACAAAGGCCTCCGGCCTCACAAATCAAACCCTACGCGGGCGATAACAGAGCATGTCTAAGAATTTCGGTTACAACAAGAACAAAGTTCAACTGGAATGAAATGATGAAAGAGTTCCTACGAAGGCTCAAGATTTTGGAAGCACACGATCCGGCTTAGCTGTGGAGCTCAGTCAACTACTGGCTGGGGGGCGCAAAATAGAAAATTATGAGTGGACAAAAATAAAGTTCAGTTCAGTGTAAACCAACATAATATAACCCCACCGTTTAGGAAAACATGCTAGAAAATCCAAATGCATCTCAAAACCATCATAATCAAGTATATAGATATCACATCAAAACAACACCGGATGCCAAGTCCGAAATCCATAAATAACACTTCACAAACCCACCATTCAAAACTTATAAGTCCCAAAAAACTAACTCTCGAAAGCGTACCCATTGGCACGACTAGCGAGGAAGTATCCTCACCGAGAAACAAGAACGAAAGAATAGTTATATATATACATACATAATAATATATAATATACTAAGAGATATATATATATCATATAATATAACCAACACCTAGTTGTACCGGGGAAACAATCCAACTGGGGGATTGTTTGACTAGTCCACATAGCAGAGCAATTCCTCAATTCACCATGTGGCTAGGGAACGAGCCGTCCAACTGGGGGACTAACTCTCAGCCAGCATGTATAGCTGAGACCCTCAAAGCTTGTACGCCTGAAAACCAGTCCTACGCACGCAGACTACCCAATCAAGGGTCTAAAGCAACATCCCGTCAAGGATGCCCCAGGTCCGACAAATCCAAGTATCTCAAGTTTCCGTATCCAAGTTCCAAATCCAGGGAGGTACATAGGGTAGTGCTTATAGCACTCCAAACTGACATTCAATACTCAAACCTTTCCACAATCTCAACTCAACAACCCAAGTACCCCACACATAGACAATATAGATAGAAATTCTCAAAATCCATATATACATACTTAAGATACTCAAATATGTCAAAACCCAAAATATAATGCCAAAGCTTTATAAGAACATCAAATTCGACAATAAAATATATAATAAATCCAATATACCATTTAAAACAATATGCAATATTTTCCATCAATAAAACCATGCTTAAGATTTGAAAACAAAGTCCACTCACAAGTAGTCCCACACTGCTTGACCCTGAGAAGGTCCCACTTGCTACGTATGTGTGGTCGGAGTACCTATTTCAGAATATGAATACGAGATCAACACAAAGCGTTTCGAAAGAGAACTTTAAATTAAAATCCTAGTTTCCCGGGTTCCTAAAGCATGCATGAGGAACGAGACCAACTGAAAGTTCCTAAGGGTTCCACAAGGTTTAGGATACACGTCCTGTAAGTTTGGTTCGAAACAGACGGTTAGATCGCTCACGATCGGACGGTTATCGTAAAACTCAAACTTTAAGTTATTGAATCGGAACATCCAGGGCTCCGATTCATGATCCGCGAATTTCTACACGATTCTAAGAGTGTCTAGATTAACATACATTGGAATGGAGTCGATCCAATGGTCCGAACCTATCGAACAAGGATAACGCACAATATGCGATATCCGATCGATGATCAAACAATAACCAAATTGAAATTAGAGAATACCGTTATATTCGGAACAACACAAGGATCATTTTAGAACAAAATGGCAAACCAGCATTGTTCCCAAGCGCCACCCCACGCATTGGCAGCGCATGGGTGCTCAAAGAGATTTTCGGCGGCCGGAAAAACTCCAAACCGTCGGCCAAGACTTCCAGGTTAGGTAAATCACATGCAGTTGAGCAACTTTTGTTCTTAGACTTACCCCAAAAAGTCTACGGAAGTGGCCGGAATCGGAGGCCAAAACCGGCCAAAACTCTCATCGCTTGGAAACGTTTCAAAACTCAGAAATTGGTCCTAAATACCACAACCAGCAGCTAGAGCATGTTTAAAGGATAGAAATGCATACTAAGTTCGAAGAATTTGGTTGTCGGAATCACCCGAACGAGCTCCTTCAAGTTATGGGTAAAACTGGCGACTCTTCTACAATTTCCGGCTACCACAAGCAGCAGTGGCGGCGGTGAAGGGTCGGGATAGGAAGAGGGAAGTGAGCTTGACGTTTTGGTACCAATAACACGAAGTTTGGTGGCCGGTGGAGGAAATGGCGAAGGAAAAACCGTGCAGATGAACAGTAACCAAAAGGGGTTGTTTCTGTGAGCAAGGAGAGAGAGAGAGAGAGAGAGAGAGAGAGAGGGAATTTTCAGATTTATTAAAAACCAACTTCGAGAAAATTACGGTTAAGCCACTGAACTTGTTTTGATCGTAACTTCTTCGTTACAACTCCAAAACGAGCCAACTACGTGTCTACGGACTCATCTCAGTACGATTTATCCAAAAATACCAGTCACAACCCCAAACTCTTCTTAGTTAAGAAAATGACCGAAATACCCCTACCCTAAGGGTAATTTCGTAAATTCACAATTAATAGAATTAAATACTTTGAATAAGGAATTTAATTTGGAGTCGGGGTGTTACATTAAAAATGGTGACATGAATGGTAACTTGAATAGTTAGCCCCTTGCCATGGCAAGGGGAGCCATAGGGCAACTACTATTCACATGAATAGTGGTTGCCCTACCCTCCCTTAGCAAAATGTGTTTCCAGCAGTTTAAACTTGTCATTTTTTTTTTTTTTTTTTTACTTAAACAATTAATTTGGATAATATTTTCGGATAAGATTTTTGGGTTCCTATGTATGAAAAATTATTTTCTCAAGATTTTTAGCGGATGTGCAATATTGACTAAATATGAAAAATGGTTTTTCGAAATAATCATTTTCTCAAGAAAATTTTTGGCGGCTTTTATTCCTTACACATCAAATAAGAAAACTTGATTTTTATGGGATTTTAATATGAAGTATATATTGACTTAATAAGCCATCATTTTTAGCCTAAATCGTATTTTGCACTAAAACCGATTTTTCATATTTTGATTTGGTGGGAATTTGATTTTTTAGTATTTTTATTTGAATCCAAATGGGGGGTACTTCCTTATTTACATTGTAAACTTAAGCAAATGGAGTAAATATAAAAATAAATAAAAGTAAAAGGACAAAGATATTTAATGTTGAAAATGGAAATAAGAGAAAAAAAAAAAAAAAAAAAATAAATTTTTTTTCAATTTTTTATTACAAAAATATTGGTTGTTGGTGTTAACAGTGAAGAGTATTGGTTGGTACTTATAGAAAACAATTTCAGTATTTTTTGGGTATTTTTTTTATATTCTTTTCGATTTTTTTTCTTTATTTTTATTGGGAAAAAATTGGTTGCCGTTGGATTGCTGGAAAAAGGGAGATTGAAGAGCCCAAAGCTAGCCACTTCAGCTCAGCCCGTAGGCAAGCACTCGGGCCAGCCCAGGCTGCTGGCCCCCACCTCTTGCCCGGGCTCCATTTTGTTGCTGGAAATACCTACAAGACCCAAAACCCCCCCCCCAGCCCGAGCCCAGCCTGCATTGCTGGAAATGCTCTTACAAATGACATTAGACAAATCAATGTGTGATATTCAGTTTGATTTGTGATATGAATGGTAAATTGAATGGTAATTTCTTGATGAATCTAGAAAAAGAGAACCAAAATTCAGTTTTCCCTAAAAAAAGCATGACCTGCCTTCTTTGCCAAAGTTTATGGTGGATATGGAGCCTTTGGTAACATGCCAAAGTTTACTGGAATCTGGAAAGCAAGAGGCAAAGCCCAAAACTAGCAAAAGCACATGTCATTATAAGCACAAACCAAAACATAACAGGTTCCAAAGCATAACACAAACCAAAATAGGTTCCAACCATAACAGCCTTATGAATATATGCACAAACCAAAACAAGTTCCAAAACAGATTCCAACCATAACAACCTTAGGAATATATGCACAAACCAAAATAGGTTCCAACCATAACATACATCAAATATTCAGGTTCCAAAACAGGTCCAACCATAATAGGTTCCAAACATAATAGACATCAAATATACATGTTCCAACCAAAACAAGTTCCAACCATAACAGACATCAATAATCCCACAAACCAACAACCATATCTGGACCATTAAAGTCTTCCACAACATTCAAGGATGAAAAAAAGGATCTTTGACAAAATGGCTCCTCTGTTGATCTTTCATCCTCCTCTTACGTTGTTGTACCCAAGATAATTTGGCAGGTTCAGATGCTTGAGATGGTTGGGATTGAAAAGCATCAGCTGCTTGAGATGGTTGGGATTGAAAAGCATCAGCTACTTCAGATGCCTGGGATTGAGAAGGCCCTTGGGAACTGCTTGCTTGTTTCCTTTGCCTTAATTGCATACTCTATTGTCCGCTACTTTGGTCTCTACCATCTCTCCTTCTTACCTAAAACAAATAATAATTAGAAGTTTCCATGATATAAAATTTTGATGAGTGAAAACATAGTTGAAACCGTGGCACTTACTGCAAGTTTGTGCTTGGCAACATTCCTCTTCCTAGTAGGCTTTATGTTGGGATTTTTAGGTTCCTAATAACCAAAGTCATCAAGTTAGAAACCAAATCAAATGCATTTAAATGTAAAGCAATAAGCCTATAATGACACATACCTTACAACTAATTCGATTATGCCTTTCTCCACCCCAATTGCCACATTTTAAAGGGATGTCATACCTAGGAAGCTTATATGGATTAGCAGGTTGTTTAGGTTCATCAACAACTTATTTTCTTGTCTTCTTAGGCCTACCAGGCTGCTTGTGGTATTTATGATGGAGTAATGGAGGTAAATTAATCTTCATCCACTGATCTTGGCTAGTCATAGGCATAATCATTGGTTCATAGGCTCTCAAATAAGCCTATTTCTTGTACACTGCATCACAAAAGTCCTCTGGATTCTCATGAAACCAACTTATTGTAGCACAAGCATGCAAACATGGTATTCCATTCAAATCCCAAGCATGGCATGAACAAGAGTGGGCATTCAAATCAACAGCAAAGGTGCGGCCACTATGGTGCATTACTTTAAACTTATTCTGTCCAGCAGCCTTAGGAATGCACCACTAAGCTTTTCCTTTGTTTTCCTCTAATATCTTTCTAATTCTTGGCCTAACTTGTCCATGTCATTTCTCACACAAAACCCTTCTTCCCGCCATCAACAACATTATATACAACCAAATTCTTTCTAGCATAGTCAAAATAGGCTTGTCTCTGGCATCCATTATGCTACGGTTGAATGCCTCACATAGATTGTTCATAAGCATGTCACACTTGGAATCACTCTTGAAATATGCCCTACTCCAATGCCTAAGATCTTTCTCTACAAGCCAATCATGTGCATGCTTAGACAACTGCAACATCTTTCTCATCTCTACATGAAACCATGGCACTGTTGTGGACCTAGCAATTGCTTCCATTTGATGTTTCAAGGCAATACCTCTATGTTCCAAATATAAGTTTCCATATAGATGTTTCAAACAATGTCTATGCTCTGCATGAGGGAATAGAGCATCCACAGCATCTATTAACCCTTTTTGGTTTGTCAGTCATAAATACATAACTATGGATATTCTTAATATTCAGATCACCACTTAATAATTCTAAAAACCACAGCCACGTTGAATTGCTCTCAATCTCTACATACACATAGGCAAGTGGAAACATTCCGTTGTTTGCATCAACTCCCATTGCAGAAAGCACTTGCCCAGGGTGAGGCCCTTTGACATGACACTCATCCAAGCAAACCACAGGCCTACAACCATCTAAAAATCCCTTCAGGCAGGCTGCAAGATAGATGTAAATTCTTTGAAACCGTGGCCTATCACCTTCCATTTCATATTTAATGATAATTGTACTTTCCACATTTCTGGTTCTTCACTCATGACAATAATCCCACAATATTTCATATTGTTTACTGTAAGACCCCTCTACAATGTCAACTGTCATGGCTCTTGCTCTGTACACAGTTGCTCTAGATGGTCTGTAACCATAGTCTTGGTGCACTTGCTTTACAAAAGAAGAAGCAGTCCAATTTGGAATGAGCCTTAACTGCCCAGAATATCTTTCAGCCAACCAGCTAGCAGTAGCATGTATATTTTTAGTCCCCTTACTACAAACATGTGTAGGATTAAAGGTTTTCACATGCAGGTAAGTGCTACCACTAACACTTGAAGCATGGATAACAAAAGACAGCCTTCTTCACATACTACTCTTATTTTGTTACGGTCATTATTCATAAATATCAACTCCTTTTCACAATTAATGGAGTATATCCTCACAGCTTTTCTAAACAACTCGGCAGTTGCAAACCTTAAACCTATTTTGAAACCTGGGTTTGCCATATCAATTTCAGGTATGAAATCTTCACCTTTTGACATCCTATTCTCCTTCCTTCTTAGTTCACCCACTACATCATCTTCACTTGAACAACTATTTGTGCAGGTAAGTGTAGGTGACTCTTCTCCATTGTCTGACTCATCATTTTCCTCTGCATTAAGATCATTGTCAAAAATACTATGATCCACATAACCTTCAAACCACTTATCATCCTTCTTCAATAAGTCAATCTCTTCATCACTCTGTGCATAGTCACTGTCTTCAAAGTCTGGATCACTGCTATCAGCATTCTCAAAACAATAATATTCTTGATCACTGCTATCATTCCCCACTTGGCTTGAAGTCAGGCTCACTACTTTCAAGTACAAAACTATCACCCTGCTATTGCTTTTAGGTACCGTACTCATACAAGCTAAAAGTGAACTATCTGATATTATTTGAATGAGTCTACCAGTTCCAAACTCTTCACCATAAAAACTCACATCATACCCATCGTCATATCCCAAATCTTTAGCCATTCTAAATAGCTCTAACATGGACATATAGTCAACCTCACAATAATCAAACCAACTGACTTCACCACCCAAATAAGACCATTCACTGTCCTTTCTATTTTAAACTAGTTTACCTCCATGGAAAAACTTAAATGTGACAACCTCATCAGCATCTTTATATGTGTAAGAGAAAGATTCACTTAACAAATGGACAAATGTAACAACAGACAAAACAAGGACCACATAAGGTGTATTGGGGCCAGCACAGAGTAAAAAAGTATATGAAAAAACAAAACAAAAAATCCAACAACACACCAGACTAGGAACACGGAAGGACCACACAATGACCATACCAGGACCAGCACATAGTCAAAAAGTATACAAAAAAATGCAAAAAAAACCCTAACAACAGTTCAATGCACATGCCAAAATCAAGAAAATCGAGTGAGAATGGGTCCACTTACATATGAGTTGACAACCTCCAAATTCTCTAAGCACCACCATCTTCGCACTTTGTAGCCTTAAAGTTTAACGCCAAACAATGATTTCTTCTCTAAATTCTCCCAAAATCGAAGAAACCCTAAGATTTTCACAACCCTCTTCTCCAATTTCCCTTTTTCACCCAATTTCCCCCTTTGTTAGAAATTGAGAAACCCTTATTCGAAGAGGTTAAAGGTTAAAATGAAGTGGGGCTCAACGTTCGTAACGGAATGTCAAAAAATCTGACGGAACGGGTAACGTTAGACGATTTTTAAAACGTTGGGGGGTACTTTGAGACGTTTACAAACACATGTGGTAATATGAGATAAGTTTGAAAGTATAGAGCATGTACATATACATTAAGCCTTTTTTTTTTTTTTTTTTTTTTTTTTTTTTTTTTTTTTTTTTGGGTACACCTTGACTAATCCCCACTTGCGGAACTGTGTCTGTCGCTAGCCACCAGGTGTTGCGACTGCTGGGAGTCGAATTGGAGAGCAAACTCAACCGAACCCAAAAGCCTTTCCCAAATGATGGACAAACTACTGGGCCACTCTTGGTGATTTCGTATGTTGTTCTTTAGCAGTTGCTAAGTTAACGTTACTTTGGCTTCTCATCCTCCTCAACAAGGTAAGCATTGTTTGGTTACAAGTTGTACCGTACAACTGTACAAAATACAAAGTAACATAGAATTTTCCTTGAGATCCATCCATTTGTTATGGTTATTAGCTGGGATTTTAATTTAATTGATTAATGAAGATCCATAAATAAAACTAAAGTGATTATTTACTAAAAATTCCTCAACTTCTCATATACATTTGGTCAGAAGTATTTGAGCAAGCGTACTATAATAACCATTGAATTTTTACAATAATATATCATCCATCAGGGAAACCAAGATTGCACATTGCTAAACAACCCTGTTTCCAAAATCCAGCCTTCTATCATTGCCTGAGAATTCAATGGCTGATCAGCAGGCACAAGATGCCCTGCCCTTGAAACCACAACATGGCTCAAACTCCCCCATTTTTGCACGTACCCAAAAAGCTCATCCCCATTCACTTTCCAAACCTTTCAATCCGCTGATAGAAAATTTCCAATCTCCTCCCATTGCAAGGTCTTCACCCAAGCCTCAGTCGAATATACACCATCCCACAAGTCAAACCGCCCCTGGTACAACAAAACCTTGCTCCTCTTCACCAACAATTCCACCATGTATTTCACACTCTTCATGTTGTCTTCATACAATGCAACCTTCACCACATGGCTAAACAGTTTCTAACACAACATCCTTCACACCCCCCCCCCCCCCCCCCCCCCCCCCCCCCCAAAAAAAAAAATTTCTTGACCCTTTGATTGTGCAAATAGTCAATAACCCATTGGGTTTTGTGATAAGGAGCTTTCTTTGAATAGTTGTACAGAGTGGGCAGCCTTGTCATGTAATGCAACATATCCACCACCTGATGTCTTGCATTTGTTGCCTCTCTCCAGTGCCTTATTTTGGCCAGCCTGATTGCCTCCTGCTGATGCCACTCCAACTCAATCCTCTGCCTCTCATTGATCAAGCCTGATAAGTAAGCATTGTCAGCATAAGTGGCCACTTAAGTCACTGGGTCTATCAACCCATTTCCAATAGCAACACCACCTAAATTAATTAAAATCTGAGACTGATCATGATCATGATCAGGCATCATTAACTCATCATTCTTCTTCAATATATAGTATCCAATTGCTGGCACAAACTTGCCGGCATAGCTCTCGCCTGCAATATAAACAGGACAAGATCTGAACAATATTGGGTCAAGTTCAATAAACTTGGTGATGGCAATGTAGAGGTGTTTGGCAATTGCAAGTTGGTATCTTGGGATTTCTTCAACTTCTTAGGCGATGCTAAATCCGCTTCCTATTGGATTGTCAAGGAAAATAAGGCCAAAAACTCTGTTCCAAGCACCAGGGTTGGGTTCGAGCACAAAAAATGGTAGCTGACGATGATTATGATGATTGTGAAGGTTGACGTACCAAGGACCGATCTCCATGAATTTACCAAACAAGGAGGAGCAGCCAAGGCCACCTTGGAGCCAAATGATGAGTGGGGTTTGTGAGAGATCGGGTAAGAGGAGGCTCTGAGCTTCATAGAAGGTGTAGAAAATAGAAGAAGATGTGGTGGAATTGACTGGGAGGTAGCCTGACTTGGTGGTATAAGCTTCTTTGGGAAATAGAGAGCTTGGATTAGAACTAATAATGAAGGTTGGTGATGATAAGGGTGGGATGTGAAGAAGGAAGGCTAGAGGGAAAAGTTGAAACAATAAGAACCCAGAAACGAAGAGGAGGAGAATAAGCTTCAAGAGGAGTTTAGGGGTCGTTGACTCCATTAGAGCCGGTATATCACATGTGTATGTGCTACATTATTGTCATGCCCATATATTAGTACATGGGGCTTAACGCGTTGCAATATTTTTGTTTTTGGATAGGAACTGTAGTCTAAATTATTTTGAACCATTCTATAATTTATAGGAAGATGATTGGAACCTAAAGTACAAGAAGACAAACACGCTAATTAGTAGAATAGGAGGATGTTCTTCTGACTCACATGTCTTATTGTAATATTTTAATAACAGTAATTTGTATGTTTTTGTGAGTTTAGGTATTTACGTGTAAGATTTTTAAGGTTGGGTACTAATTTGAAACTACTTCCAAAGATTGGGTACTTTCACGTAATTAACCCTTTTTTTTTTTTAATTTCCTAACTTTTCTTTTGCTTTTACACAGAAACATTCGCAGTAATTTGGGAACTGGTCTAGGCCCAGGTGGGTTTGAAACCCTGGAAAGAAACATATGTGGGCTAAGCCCAAGTTTCTTTAATATTTCCCCATTTTTCCATATGCCTAATCTTCCAGCGACGCCCGGAAGCCACACCACCTGTTTGATCAACTGTCTAGCTGAAATTGCCCAAACGTTTTGGCTTTCAAGTACTCAATTTATAGTCACAACTCATGATGAGGCTGTACGATGGCGTCAAAGAAATTCTAAAGATTCAGAAGTTCAGGCGAATTGTGTCATATGCTGGATTCTACTGCTTCACAGCAGTCTTGAGCTACGCTTACGCAAGCAATACGTGAGTCACTTACAACCTTAAACGCATATGAAATGGAAACACTTATCTGGGTTTTGAACCCCATGCTGTTCTTAACATTTTCCATCCATGGTTTTTTCCGTTGTTGTGTTTGGTGTTGCAGAACCAGAGCTGGGTTTTCCAGAGGCGACCAATTCTATGCGTCTTACCCAGCTGGAACCGAGCTCTTGACGGACACAGCAAAGGTACGTGAGAACTCTGATTATCAGAACATGAAGGACTTATACTTTTTAAGTTTTCAATGTGTTTGATTTGATTCGTATTGGCTTCGTCTTCGATATGATACTTGAATTCTTGGGGTTTTGCTAGTTGTATAAAGCTGCTCTTGGTAATTGTTTCGAAAACGAAGAGTGGGGTCCCATTGAGTATTGCATCATGGCCAAACACTTTGAACGACAGGGTAAAACACCCTATGCGTACCATGCCGTAAGTTACTCAACTTTACTTAATCAATTATAGCTCACTTTCCCAAGTAAATAATTTGGATTGCATTTGCTTGGTTTTGTTTCTTTGAATGAGGGTATGGTTTGTTTTTTCATGAAATTTGAATTTGAATTGCTAATTACAGTTCGATATTTTGTTTTTCTTGTATCATTTGCTATGTTGATGCACACAGTTTCTGTTGTTGGTGTTTTGTGCTCTTCGGAGTACATGGTTATACATCTGATTAGTGTCTTCCGAGTATCCATCTGCTTTTTTCAGCATTTCTCATTTTCAGAAGCTACCTCTCATTTTTATTGGGTTGCATAGAATGGAAGTTCATTCGTAGAGTGTTCTTTAACTTGTTCATTTTTATTAACTTGTTTGCAGCAATACATGGCACACCTTCTATCTCATGGACAGCTTGATGGAAGTGGATAGAAGATATTTCCTGTTGGTTGCCAGATTATGAGTTGAAAATGTCATACCATATCTCTTGAAACTTAAAGTTGCCCTTGGTGATATTTGAAGTAAATATGATGCCAACCATTGAAATGCGAGGATTTACTAGCAGATGAATGCGCAATGTCTGAACTTCAATCAACTTTGTTGTTATATTACTTGGTTTTAATCATGGGGCACCAAAAACTCTATAGATTTCTGTTTTCTGTTATTCTTTCCTATCGTTTGTTGAATGAGAGTGCATTAATGAATAATGGCTATTTGTGCTCTCCAAATCATTGTGCAGAATATATTACTTCTTGTGTTAGTTTCTTAAACCGATTAACATGTTTTTCGTCCAAAAAAAAAAAGGATTAACACGTTCTATGTTTGGCATGTTAGTCAAATGCCAGCAAGTCCAATCAAATTACGTTACTTTTCTTGAGAAAGGAAATGGTGTAAAACTGAGAATCCATAGGATGAAGCAAAGTCGAGGTAGTTAACAGCTCTCAGATATAAAATAATATAGGTTTAAGAACAAATCATGATATAGGTTTACAAAGAGTATAACAGCCTAAGTGAGTGGTATATGCCTTCTCGCCTTAAGCAAAAAGGAAAAACCAACATTCGGTGGTAAATGTCATAAATTATCCACACACCCACAAAATGGCTTTAGGCCCAGCAACAAAATGAAGCCATGCCCTCGTAGGCCATCTTATCAGTAGTATAATACCAGTGATATGCTGCTGCTGCTATCCTCTATGCAACGACATTGATCATCTCGTCGTTTCGCTCTGCCGTTCTATCTTCCTGCCGGGTTATACAAGCACAGATTACTTACAGATAGTACAATGAAAACTGAGAGGTGCCGAACATACTAAAAAATCTTGGAACCCTTACCTCACAGTACTGTCTGTTTGCAGCCACGCACTTAGAGGCACTAATGCTAGCACTCTTCAACAGACTGTTGGGACTATAGTTTGGCTTACTGAGGCCATTTGGTATGGTTGATCCATTTTCACAAACAGATTCTGCTACTTCAAACCCCTTGGACCTTGGAGGGCTGTGAATAGCTGCACGACCCACTGAAGCTGCAGCACTCTTTTTAGCATTACCATTTTGCTCCGCAGCCTCATCCTGGGACATGCATACTCGTTCCCTGTGCAAAAGAATGGAAAGCCATCAATCTCGTGAATGAAGATGATAAATAAAAAACGAGTAGAATCCAAAGAAAAAACCAATTTTACCTTGGTAACGAAGCATGCTTCCTTTGAAGTGCAGTGCTTCTTTCACCTTTACTGTAGTGTGCCTCAAGATGGGCAAATTGTCGTCTAAACCGATCAACCCCACTGGTGGACATGAGATGAATTTCCATTTTACATTTTCACATGGATACTTAACAGAAGTATTACTATTTTTTTTTAAAGCAAAATAAATCACATAATATGATGTGCACCGTATGCGCCTTCTAGAAATCACAGATCTAGGAACAAAGGCTGACCTTGGATACATGAAGCCAATATTATCTGACCCTTGAAGGTAATCTTGCAGCATCTTCGGATGATACTCTAAAATCTGAATGCTTTAGAACATTCACCATGAGTAGATGGTAAGGAAAGAAAACTACCAACAACAATAAGTGAAGAATAATGCACTGAAGCAAAGCATCACTAACTATGGTCATACCTCTCTGTAAATTAGCTCTCTTACATCATCTTTTGTCAATTTACTCCTTTCAAACTCAAACTCGAGCTTTGAAATGGGTTGTTTAGATGGTTCCTGGTTCACATTTGCCAATCCATGAAAATATGGGTCTGCTAGTGCCTGAAAAGAAAGCAATGACCTTTATCGGGAAACATAAGAAACGAAATTATGGCAAACATTTGTTTTCACTAAAATCTTACCTCTACAGCAGAAAGACGATCTCTAGGATCAAATGCAAGCAAACGCTCAAGTAAACGAAGAGCCAATGGATCTGCATTCGGGATTTTTTGCGAGAGAGGAACTGATTTCTTTTTCTTCATGCTACTTAAATACCTTCTGGCCTTCTCGTTCCGAATCTGCAGTCATTAAGATATCCCACATGATTGGTTATCAAGATCTTAACCAAGTCCAAAGACGCAACCACTTGACTTTGATTAAGTTTTTCTAATAGTATCCTAATAACAAATTAAATTGACAGAAAGAGGTAACAAACCCTTGAAATAGATTCAGCAGGAGGAGTGCCGAGTAAATCGGTAATGAGATCCAATTGATGTACAACATTTTTCCCAGGAAACAACGGTTTTCCTGTTAGCATTTCTGCAAATATGCACCCTATGCTCCAGATATCAATAGCAGGGGTGTACTGCAAAATACAGGTCACAATATGCTTAGCCACAATCTCAAAGGGTTTAGTTCTATCATAACTTTTATACACTTGTTTCTCATATGCCTAAATCATGTTATCATATCACTAATTATTCATATATCACTGTGAGCTGAAAATCTCGTAATATAATCTTTACACTCTCACCTTGGAGAAAAAGGAACCACAGAGTTCAGGAGCACGGTACCATCGAGTTGCCACATAATCCTTGCAAAAGGTATTTTTTTAAAATCAGCATTAACAAAGAAAAGGAAGCTACAAAGGCTAAAGATTACTAGAATGGCAATCCAAAACTTCTATTTTCCCATATAATTACACATACAGTCCAAAAAATGGTAGATGGAGCGTCACTAAATGCTGCACGAGCAAGCCCAAAGTCACAAATTTTCAGTTTGCAGTCTGAATTAGCAAGTATATTTTTTGGCTTTAAATCTCGATGGAAAACATTTGCTGCAAAAAGAAAAAAAGAATCCATCAGCACCATAGAATATGTGAAACCGAGGGAAATTCTATGGTGGTACAATAAAAGGGTATCAAACCTGTATGTATATACTTCAGAGCTCGAAGAAGCTGATACAAGAAAAATTGGTAATGCTCGGGACTGAGATCATCATTTGCCTTTATAACTTGATGAAGGTCAGATTCCATCAACTCAAATACAACGTATATATCCTTAAATTCTCGTCTGCAAGGGGGTAGCATTATATGCTTTATTTCTACAATATCAGGGTGATGTAGCAGCCGAAGGAGCTTAATTTCTCTTAAAATTCTTGTGGCATCGGAGACATGCTCAAAGACATCATTGATCTTCTTAATAGCTACTTTCTCACCAGTGTGAGTATCAACTGCGGATGCAACAACACCATAGCTACCTTTCCCAATCACTTCTTGAATTTCATATTGACTTGCCTCACCATATTCTGTGAAAAATTCTTTGTCAAGCATATTCTGAATTTAAATTAAGAAATAATTAGTAATCCTTCAAAAGTAAAATAAGGGCAGAGGGAAAATTGTGAATGGAAGAATAAACAAAAAATGGATGGTAAATGCAAACTTGAACTGACAATTCTAAAGTATACATCTCCATATAAAAATAATATGATAAAACAGAAGTGTACAACCACCGTCATCATCCAACATAAACCACAGATAAGGAACATCTTATTCAGCTCAATTATATTGATGCGGTTATTCGGAAATATGGAAGCAAAACTTAGAAGTTAATCTAACCTACATAGAGAATCTAGAGAGAGCGAGAGAGCAATAAGTATCACAAATAATTTTTCAATTTAGTAACAAATCCTAAACAATGATTCACAAATCAATTTTCAATTTGCAATAAGTCACTTGGTTCATTTAAATCGTATTGGTATATTAGCTAATCAATAAAGAAAATTAAACTATCCTAATCTCTTGCAATTATCACTAGCTTACTTTCTGCGACTCCTTCCAATGGGTAAATTGTTGTTCATAGCAGGCAAAAGAATATACGTGTAGTCATGGACAGATGGATACAGTTTAAATAATTTTAAAGATCAACAGTGCAGTACTCTTCAGATGGGACTTATTCAAAACCTGCAGTTCGATCATCACACTTCATTGGCATATCAAAGCCTGAAGAGATCATCACTTGCCATTAAGCTGAACAAAATCTGACAGAAAAGTTGTCTTTCTTTTACACACTCTTAAGTCTCGAGTTACAAATTGCATAACATGAGAATCTAAAAAGTTTACGACTTGAAATCGCAGTTCAAGAAACTTGTTGGATCCTTGATATGATATGAGCCAGAGCAAAGACACAAGAAATGATCAAGCAGCTAGGCAGTTAAAAAAATGAACAGAAAACTAGAAGGTATACACATACAATGATCTTTAAAAAAGAAAAACAGTGACTTTCAAAAACCTTCTTGTATTTCTGATAACTATTAGACCAGCCAGAGTATGAGATTGCCTGATCCTCTCAGGGAACACCAAAAAACCCACAAAAGGATATGACAGGTATGATTTGATCAAGGATATGAACCCATCAGATAAGAGTATGTGAAATATATATATATATATATATATAGATATGTATGTATGTACAGCAGTGCAGATTTGAACTTGTCAACTGAATTGTTCTTATTCGTGATCACCAACAACATTAATAATTAATTAGAAGGAAAAAAAAATGTAAAAAATGTAAAAAAGTGTTTGATTAAAAGTATAGGGGAAAAAGAGAGAGATGAAGGGAAGAATGAATCCGAAAGAAAGACCATTAAATTTGACTCGCATACATTTCAGTTGAGAAAAAGGGCAACTTGTGGCAACCGACTCAGCTCTAAATCCTCAAAATGCGGACCTTATCTTATCAGTTACAGACGGAGAGACGCAAAGGAAGAATATTATTAAAATTCAACAGCTGGGTTACAGACAGACAGTGTGTGGCTGACCTTATGATGGCCCATAGAGGCCAGTCTGTGATTGGTCCTTTCAGGCACCTTGATGGGCTTCAACCCACTCATGTCCAACTCCACCGTGATTATCAACTCCTCCTCCTGCTGCTCATCAGTACTTGCCGATGATGGTGGCTGTTGAACGACGTCGCTTTGTGAAATAGCACGGTGAGCAGCGTAAGAAGAAGAAGATGATGAAGAGAGACCTTGAAACCAGCGAAGAATGGCTTCCATATCATATGCGAGTAGTGAGACTTTGGTCCGCTAATAGCGGAGCTTCTTTTATACTCCGTTTTTTGATTGGGACCTGTCCGATATGTCAAAGACTGTCTTTACACGCAGTTGTCTGGTTTTTGGCTTTCGGTTCTATCTATCCGTTGCTTGTAAAATGCTAATCAATGAATGAGTTAATTTTTTGTTACTAGTTATTTTAGATTATTTATGCCTTTCTTTCGTTATAAATTGACATCACAAACATATTAGGTGCAATCATATCAAGAACTCCTGAGGAATTTCACATGTTTATTACAATAGTGATTACTTTATGAAAGAGAAAAAAAAAGTTTATTGGTTTATTTATCTGATAATCATCAAATCCTAGAGATTCCCCAAACTAGCCTTATGACACTGTTGTTTGTTTGCAAATTAGTAAAGGCCAAGAAGGTTTACTGATAGAAATCAAATTGCCATCCAACATTCACTTTGCGAAATCAGCATTAAAAGGTCCACTGGCTGGTGATTCATATATACCTTTCTTAAACTACTATTAGTAGTGAGATCATCCTGGCAGACAAAACAACTGAAGCAACTGCCTTTTAATCCCAAAAAGATATACACCAGAATATATACAAACATAAAATCAAACACTTCTGTAACAAGTCTTCTGTTTCTGGTCCTCATTGCAATTTTGAAGGCCTTCCCCGACCTCGACGCTTTCGTTGCAACTGCTCAATCTGAGGGGTCTCCGGTGGGTTCTTAGCATTTTCTGCATCTAATTTTGGTTTAGGATGCCTCCCTCTGCCTCTGTACTGTTGCTGCTTCTGTTGCTTATCTGAGCACGATACAACTGCCAGACTTGTTTCTGAATTTGGTTTTGGTTTAGGAGGCCTCCCTCTGCCTCTGTACTGTGGTTGCTGCTGCTGTTGCTTATCTGAGCATGATACAACTGCCAGACTTGTTTCTGAATTTGGTTTTGGTTTTGGTTTAGGAGGCCTCCCTCTGCCTCTGCACTGTGGTTGCTGCTGCTGTTGCTTATCTGAGCATGATACAACTGCCAGACTTATTTCTGAATTTGGTTTTGGTTTTGGTTTAGGAGGCCTCCCTCTGCCTCTGTACTGTGGTTGCTGCTGCTGTTGCTTATCTGAGCATGATACAACTGCCAAACTTGTTTCTGAATCTGGCTTTGGTTTAGGGCACCTTCCTCGGCGCCTTGGTGGCTGCTCCTCATCATGACGTTCAGGATCAGAGGGTAGCAATGCCGAAATGCTTACATCCATATTCTTTTTAGCTTTACGAGGCCTGTCTCCAAGCATTGGTGGCTGCTCCTCATCATGATGTTGAGGACCACCACATGGCATCAATGCCCTAGTACTTACATCCATATCTTTTTTAGCTTTACGAGGCATCCCTCGACGCTTTGGTGGCTCTTCCTCATGATGAATTTCAGGAGCTAAGAGTACCAATGCCCTAGTACTTTCTATACCTTTTCTAGGCTTACGAGGCCTCCCTGGACGTCGCTTTTCTTGGCCTTGAAGTGGTGATTGCTGGAACCGATCAGCAAGAGGCACATCACCTTGGGTTTTCAAGTTCTCATCACCATGGCAACATAATTCCAATATCTTAGTTCTGACTTCAATATCTTGCCCTTGGACTCTCTCTCCAATCTCTCTAACTTTCCCAGCTTGCGGTTGAAAATGATTTTCAATTACCTCAATTTCTTGAGCTTGTGGTTCGTTTTGCTTATATACTTCCCCACTTTGTTGTTCTTCTCTATGATGATTTCCTTGTATCACTTCATTTTCATACACCTCAGATTCAACATCTCCCAGTATTGCTTCTTTATTCGAACTCCCTTCCACATCCAACTCCATGCTTGCCATCTGCATTGTCAAACGGAATTAGACCCACACAGAGAATGTTGCCAAGAGCAAAAACCTACTGGAAAAGCACAAACAAGATACGACTAGCTAATATCACGTTAAGATGACATGAGAACAGCATTGCTCAACAAACTTCAAGCACAAAGTAAAATCAGCGCTACCAACAACAAAGATTTACTAGGCAAGCAATTGAGAATGTAAAAGCAACCAAATGCAGAAACCAGGTGTCAAAAATAGTACCGCAAGTTGTCCCTCATTCACTTCCATCTGCTTTCCTTGGGCTTCACATTTGTTTTCAATCCCCTCAAAATGCTCTTGCTTTTGTACATCACGTCTTCTCATCACCTCACTTTGCCATTCTTCCCCTTTCATTTTTACCTCCATCCTAACAATTTCGCCTCTATCCTCCCGCCCCGGCCACCTTTCGCTCGTAGACTCTCTGTCCACCACACCCCCATCATCACCCTCCTCAACCACAAGATTGTACCTCCCACCTTCCAAATTCACAACCACCCCACTCTCACAAAGTTTCCTCAGATGATGCCTCAGAAATCCCTCATGCGCCACTGGCAAATCCTCATATTTCCTTTTGATAAACTCCGATATGGCCACCTCACTCAGCCCACGGTCCTCATCCAACTCCTCTATTGCCCTCTGTATCATCTACATTCGCAAAATACAAACAAATACAATGCACAGGAGATCAACAAAACCAAGACACTCACAATATCCCTCATAAAACAATATGCACAAACAAAAAAGTAGTTTTCTTGCTTCTAAAAGCTAAACACTTTGAACTTACAAAATAAACAAGAAATTAGTAGTTAACCAAATTCAAAGTTACCGAGGCATAAGGAGGGTGAGTTGGGGTGTGGACGGTGGGGATGAGCTCTCGGAGGCGGCGGTCGATGTTGGACTTAAGGCCCTCGGAGTTGATGATGGGTTTGGAGGGTTCTGATGAAGCGGCAATACGGGTCAAAAGGGCGTCTCTGAGTTTGCAGATGATACGTTTTTGCCTTTGATCTTTGATATTTTGATGATGAAGGGGTTGGTGAGGTTTTAAGGTTGCCATCGCTTGGGGTTTAAGAGTGAGTAAGCAGCAGAAATGGACATGCATTTAGGATCGTATTGTGACTCAAACTTCTTCCGGCTTTATCTGTGCCGGTTCCGGTGCCGCTCAGCATTTTTTCTTTCTTTCTTTCTTTCTGTTACTTCCTTTACTGGTGTACTTACTTCTTTCCCTTTTTTGTTTGACCAAAGAAAGTCAATTGTTTTTGTTTTTAGGGTTTTTGGTTTTTGCCAAAATTAGAAGGAAAATGATGAAAAAACTCCCACACACGGGTATCTAGAGTTCCATCCATTGGTTTTCTTTGGGCTTTAACTGGGGAGAGTAGTATGAAAATAGGGGAGCTTCTATAATAGTCCAATAATAACTATGTACTTGATTGGACGGCTATTAAGGACACTAGCCATCTCTACCCACTTTTGTCTTTCTGGGCTTGGGCCCCTTTCAATACCAAAAACAGCTCTCAAATTGGGGAAGTAACCACAGAGAAATTCAAGTCCTTCACTCTTTTCGGCTTTTCCCCCATTTGTTATTGGTAGTTGTAGCCAGGCAAAGCCATTGGAAGCAAGCAACTAAGTAATTCCACATAGATTTTATTGTTATAACAACGCAAAGATCTAATTTGAAGTTCTCATTATCATTTACAATAAGCAGCAGTCCTACTCGATCCAAATTCAATCGGCAAAATGAGTTAAGTAGGTGAACATAACTACACAAGAAGCACACCAACAACAACATTCACCATTTTGTGGATTTACACTTAGTCGATAAAGCACTGCCATCGAAGTAGGACTGGAAGGTCCTGATAACTTCCTCATATGTTGGCCTCTTGTAGTCCACTGCCTGTGATTAGTAACCACTCATATCTGATTACGTCCACAAAACACAATGATTCAATTAAATTAACCGGAAGGATTATTTTTCAGCACACCTGCTCAATAACTTCTTCAGGGCTCGCCCATTTCCACTCTGCAAATTCTGGATCAGCTGCTCCATTGGCTAAGTTGATCTCACTCTCATCTTTTGTGAATCTCATAAGAAACCTGTCAAGTGCCAAATCCATTGTTAAGCAGCAGCAGAAACTTTTGCATCTCTTATTTCCATCCATTCGGAGAAAAATTACAGATCTATATAAGCAAAGGAAGCACATTAATTTTTCACTGAGAGAGGAAGCCTGATATAACTGAATATACATGGTAAGCAAGCTCAATATCAATTCTATAATTCAGTTGAACCATACAAAGACATTTCATTTTCATGTCCCTTAAGTCCCCAGATGGCCCAAAGCACTTGTGGTTATGCCCCAGGCACCAGAGTGAGCTACTAAACATGTCGGGAATTCGTAGAAAAACAGAGTATACACAACCTCAATAACATGATCATATAAGGAGAAACAGCAGAGTACATGCGATGACAATGACATTAATAAAGATCTGCAATCACAATGAGGAAAAAGTCTCTAAATGTGCTGAGAATGTAACATTACATACTTGCAAGCTTAAGAAGGCAGGTTTTAGGAGAATTGATATTGTTTTTAATTCATGAAGTGTGTGCATGTGTAGGAAGGAGGACATGCCATTTTTGTGCTTGCCCGTGCCATTCACCTCCCCAGAGACGATTTACTTTGGTCTTCACAGCAGGCGGAAAGTCATATGTCAACCAATTCGGAACCTGTCAATACACACAACCTCAGTCGTAAGGGTGGAAAATTGACTGCTATGAAAATTCAGCTGCTCAGCATAATTATGAAGCATGCAGCATATTTTGACTATAATTTAGAAGTTTTGAACTCCATCCAAGCCATTACTTCATGATACACTGGAGTTTTACAAATTCAGTATTTTTATAGTGGTGATTATGGGGTTTTTGCCAGATTTCCAAACTAACCTCAGCAATAATTTCAGCAGATTCTATCCCAGTCTCTTCTCGTAGTTCCCTAATAGCTGCATTTTTAGGTTCTTCACCATCTTCAATACCCCCCTGAGATTGAGGATCCAAAAATTAATACAAAAGTGAAGCTTAACCGAATGAATTGGACAAAACAGCAGAAATCCAGAGAATTACAGAGAAAGTTCAACCTTTACAATGATTGAAGGAAAATTTAGACCTTGAAGAGAATCCGATACTAGTATAAGGAAAATTTGTACAGAGATATTGAGCAAAACACTTAACCATGTGGAATGGATTTCCATCATTTAGCCATAAAAACACTAAATCCATCCACATCCACTTCCACTATGGATGTTTTGCAAATGCGAGGAAGCAACAAGTGTTCAGATTGCACATCTCTGATTCTACATCAGTAACTATTTGAACAGAATTCATCAACAAATAATGGTTTAAATTAAACAAGCCATTAATCTTCACATAGTCTACAACAATTAGCCATATCCCCAGGCGATTAAAGCAATCTCTTATTTGTTAGCAATTAATAACAGCTTTTAAAAGTGGTTGAAAACAAAAAAATGCATCTAGTGCGGTACTACCTGAGGCATCTGCCATGCTCCCGGAACATTCAATCTTGATCCAACGAAAACCTGCAATAAAACCCAGACAGTTGCAATATAATTTCTTCCCGCAAATATGTACACTTTTTCAAGGAGAAGGGTCTTAAATTGGACTCTGTTATTAACAAAACCGTTTTGAATTTACTGGGTTTTGGTCAGAGAGTTAGCATAATCTTAGTGACAGCAACAAAAGGGTCTTAATTAACGAGACCCTACCAAATACAGAAAGATGACAAAGCAAAGAAGATAACAAGTGGTTTTTTTTATATGATAATTTTAGAGGAGAGATGGATGGAGAAGATGGTGGGTGAACGTGAATACCAGATTATCAGAGTTAATGAGGCAAACGCCAACGTTGGGTCGGTAACCAGAGGGCAGATCCTCCATTGCTCAATTTGCTCTGCTTCTTTCTTCTCCGCTGCTCAGACTTTGAGACCCAGAAATCTCTCTCCTTGGATCGATGACTCTCTCAGAAAATCACAACACGATAATAATAAGTATAAAACCAAGAAATAAAGTGGGTTTTGTGGGAATTGGTGACGCTGACCATGACAAAAGGGTGACTCAGAGCATAGAGTTTCCCACTCTTATCCTGCGCACCCTTCCACCCAGGTTTCCTTCCATTCCAATCAATCAAGTGACACTCTTCCTTCTAGGTCGGCGCCACGGTATGCTGCGGCTGTCCTCACTTTTCTTGTCATGAGCGCCCTTCTAGGATGTGTCATACTTAGACACGTGTCTTTATCAACGCTTGTGTAAGATTGACCGAAAGAAAATAACGAAGCTCGTGGGTGTTTTGTTTAACATCGGGCTAGATAGTTAAGTTTATAAATTTTTATGAATATGGTCAACCTCCCTAGATTTCAAACTAGTTGACAACAGATTTAATGGAGATTTCGTCCAAATTGAATAATAATAATAATAAAAGGTCTATTCTATGCTATTAGGTTGGAAAATAGTTGAATTTCCAATGAATGTTCTCTAGAGCATAAACCTAAAAATAGACAAGTAGAAAGAAAAATGAAAGAAAGAGCCAAGTAGAGTTTATGGTAAGTATATGAGGGCGCCCACGGAGTAGCACGGCCTTTGGAGGAGGGAGAAACTGGCGCGTGATCAGAATGTGATGGTGACGTACAGTTTAAGTCAATGGGCGAACATGCGGATAGAAAAGAGCATCGCTAAAAGACAAAGCCAACAAAAAGTAGTGGGCGGGGGAGGGGCGTTGACTTTCAGTAGCTCAGAGTCAGGAAGTGCATCTTTCTTTTTAAATATTTATCATCATTACCTTTTAAATTATTATTTTATTACCAACCGAGCTGTAGTCGCCAATCTACACGAAAGCCACTGCACAGAGCCCGCGTCTCCTCCAACGAACAGTTTTCCACTTTAAATGGCGTGACAGATATTAATTTATTATTTAAACCCAAAATAAAAAATCAATTTATTAAAATATAATCTTTTTAAATTTTACATTTCTCAAAAAAACAAAATAAAACATGACACAGCCCTAAATATCCTTTTTTTTAATGGACAATATTTTACGCCATATCCACTTAATTATCGTCAATATATCGATATTTTTGTCAATATTATCGCGATTAAAACTGAAAAATAAATTAAATTTGTTGAGAAATAGCGCTTTTGCCAAGGAGGGGATTCAAACCACTCTCTTTCTCATCCATCTATTGGGCCTTATCTAACATGCTGCGAATGAGTTTGTTAATAACGTTACGACGTGTAATATTTGTATGGTCTTAAAAATTTCTGCAAGCTAATATTATCTAGGATAAATTTCCATTTAAAAAAAAAATCCCTAATGATAAATTTAGGCATATGTTTAATTTTATTTATTATTTTATTATGGAGTTGTATTGTTATTCACTATTGAGTTTTAATATTGTTCATTATATGTGATACTACTTTAATAGGAATTTTTTTATGTGGTACTAAGTTACTCATATATTTTATTTTTGTTTTTTTGGTCAAGCTCATATATCGTATCATATGCAATATATTGTAGTAAAAATTATTATAACTAAAAAATTATGGTCCGTTTAATTTTCTCCCACTAATTACTACATATTTTCTAAAGACACGGTGTTTGTTAGGTCACTGTATAATCAACTTAAATCACTCTAGCCCACCATGCCATGCATTTTATCCCCATTTTTTGTGATAAAATAATAGACAAATTACTAAATAAACATCATGTAAAGTTTCAATAAAAATTTCCAAATTTTTCTCACAATTTCTGTGATTTTTATTCAATTTTTATCGATATCGATATTTTCTCGATATTTCCATCTATATATCCATATTTTTTGACCACCGATATTTCTGAAACTCTCGATATTTTAGACCTTGCATGAAACCCTTATCAAATTTGTTTACAGAATAATGTGTTAGTATTTTTTCTATACAAATACTGAGGATGTAGTACTATTTTGTATTTATTTAAAATAAGGTAATCGTGAGTATAATAAGTATAACGATAGTAGCCAAAAAAGAACAAACAGTCCTATTCTACATTATCTATATATATAT